AACAACAAATATTGCATTTATTTGCTATTTGATGGACATATATAAATCCGGAAAAAAATCCAGATACAAATAATTGTTTAGAATAATTTCCGAACATTAACATGATAGACCATCTATGGGAGAATGATGTAATGCATGGTATGAATCGTAAGCGTGTAAACCTAAAGCAATTGTTTGTTGGGCTTATGTAAATTTCTTTTTTTCCAATATACAGCACTGTCCCTGATGTCCGATATATAAACATAGCCTCACATTGTGATTCTATCACTTGCGGCTTGTCTGTTGATATTTCATATTGGTTTTTATATTAGTATTGGATATATACTCATTATTATAATATGATCATTATTCTTAAAGCAAATTGGAAGTATTAGATAAATCTTTGATTAAAACTGATGATGACCGTAAACCTTTCAGTAAATTGTTTGATTTGTAGATCGAAATTCAACGAAGTTTAGTAAGGGAAGAGTAAAACTACTCAAGGTTTGTTACTTCACTTTTTTCATGCATGTTACGAGCATATTAAGGAAGCAAACTCATACAATTATCATTATATAATCATTTAAACTACTTGAATATTAAATATAATGAATATATATATTATTATAATTATATTGAACAATGAATATTTAACAATTTTACTTTTATTTGTTAAAAAAACAATTCTAATATAATTTTACAACTAACACAACCATAAAGCCAAGAAATATATGTGCCACAAATAACGGCACTTAGAACATACCGTAACACTGTTTTTATGTTGCCCAGATAAAATACACTCAGAAAATGATAAATAAACAAATTGAAACATTTCAATAAAGAAGTTTATCAAAATAAATTTTCAATTAAATCTTCGATCTTGATATCTGTATTTAATTTGTCGTAGGTCTAATGTAAACTGTTTCGTGCGATAAAGGTAATTGGTGATAATTGATTATCTGTCCGAATTGAAGGCATAATGACAAATGCAAGCAGACAACGTGTCTAAGTCGTGAGAGAAAAATAACACCTTGCTAATTTGATATTTTCAAATTCGACATTTTCAATGACAGCTTAAAATAATTACTGTCACAATAATTATATATATTAAATAAGAAAATAATTGATTTTAATATAAAAAGAAGACAAGTGATTAAGTGATCGCGTGCGAATTGTCTGGATGTAAAGAAATTAATCGTAGAAATTACCAAATTACGCCATTAATTTTGCTTACTGAAAAGTATACTGACCTGATAAAGAAATCTGGCTTTTTACTTAGTTTTGTTGAAAACCTTATCTTTTTATATATAAATTGATTGTGACATAAAGTTATTCTGAATGTTGTGAAGTAAACGAAACTAGGTATATACTCGTAATGTATATACATGTAATGCTTAATAGAATTAACAATATTTGGCAAGAAAAAATAACTTAAACATGTTTAGTGCTTCCAGGAATATACATTTTACCGTTTGATATATATACATATATAAATGTGATTATAAAATCCTTTCTGTTTATTTTGATAGACAACAAAATTTGAAATACAATGCAAATATAAATATAAAGACAAATACTACATGTACTAGTAATCTTTTGTCAATTAGTTTGAACATGTGTCCTTTGTTTGGTTTATTTAGAATTAAGAATAATACATTCAAAATCATGGCATATTATGAATACAGTGAAAAGTCATTGTCCAACATAAAACATTAACTTTATCATAAATGAGACTTCATTCTATCAAAGTTAGATTTAAGTTGTTTTTGATTACAGTTGTCTGAATTTTGTCCAATACGGTGATAATGGGTTTTGGAAAGTGTATAATTGCAAATGCTTTGCACATACAATATTGATTGCACGCTTCTTGTTGAAGCATGCTTGTTATTGTCTTTATCAATGAAAATAATTAAATTCTGTGAGACAAACATTTTAAATGTCGTTAATATTGCATTAATCAGTGAGAATAAATATTAACAATTTATCAATAATGATGCTATGCAAAAAGAAATTTTACGTAGGTTTTAAATGTTTTCAATTTAAAATGAATCACACACGTTTCGATGATCAACATTAAAGTCTAAGCAATATTCTTAGTAAATACGAGGTTCATAAAGTACACATTTAGTGAAGTAATATAATATCGGACTATTTACTAGACATTGAAAAACATCGAACATTTCAGCAGATCATGAAGCATATTTGCATACAGTATTTAATGAAGGAGGAATTAAATATTTACAATTTCAGTGTCACCAATGACTTTTTGTTTAATTATTAAAATGTAACATAAAACAGTTATTAACAGAAATTCCAATAAGTAAAGTATTCAGAGCAAGTGATATTATTGAAGTCTTACTTATTTTAAAGTAAAAATGCTTTATATTTTAGAAGACAAAGACCTACAACATAAAAAACAAACTCTTTTCACATGTTCAATTTGGTGAGACTTCTACATTGTGTATAAAAGAATAAACCGTATATACCTTATTAAATGTTACAAGTATGTTCAATCTTCTCAATGATTTGTAATCAATATTCCTTATGCTATTTATGTACCGTAGTTAAAAATATATGCTTTAACTTAATATTTTGCAATACAGATCTGGTAAAGAATAGCTGAACTAACACTAAACTAAGTTAAACTAACAAAAACTGTCATAAGTCGATCTAATCCAGATTTTTGTTAAACAAATGTCCTGTCCTTTCCTTTAGAACTATTGTTTTGGCTTATCATTTTTGCAATACAGATCTAGAAAAGAATAGCTGAACTAATAATAAACTAAGCATTTTTGCAATACAGATCTAGGAAAGAATAGCTGAACTAATAATAAACTAAGCTAACCTAATAATAAACTATCATAAGTCAGTACTATCCTGCTTTTTGTTACACAATTGTTCTCTACTTCTCTTCAAAACAACATTTATCCCTCTTATGCATACACATATATAATCACTTGCTTACAGTTATCATGCTTAAGGAAAAGATAACTAATTTCCCGTCGCATAATTACGAGAAAGTTATTTGTTCTGTTAGCATTGCCTTACATTATTGACCTTTGTTTAAAATTTATTTCCTAGTTTTGTTATATTATATGTAACACTATTCGGCTTTTATACGATAGAAAGCAACGTAAAAATAGTAAACTGAGTTTGGGTATTTCGGACATAAGTTACAGCTTGCATTTATTTAAATAAACTTATGGATAATGTTAACATGCAACCAAAACACAACAACAACAACAACAACAAAAAAAAAACAAATAAAAAAAACATGAAAAACCAAAAACACACCCGTCCACAACTGCAATAAACTGAATAAAAAGTCCTTTGAGTATATTTGTCCCAGATAACATTGACATTGATAGTATCTTTGTTATCTATCGCCATATATTGGAATACAACTTCTGTCATGTTATACAATCCACATGCGTTTTATATCTTGTTTGTCTTAATGGGATGGAAGCTGACGTTCGTACACTTTAAATTAGTAAAAATGACATATACAACAACGAGTTAAATATGGCAATGATGGAATACGTGTATATGACGTTGTTTCCATGGTACTTTTTTCAATTATTATTGTCGGTTACATTTATACATGCAGTGCAATCCGTTTAATGTCCAATGACATCAAATCTATATAGGCGTGTGCGAAAATGTTTTACATTTCGTTCCTAAAGCCAGGAAAATGTATCAACTTATAATAATAATAATAATAATAATAATAATAAAAATAATAATAATATAATAATAATAAAGAAAGAATTAAAAAAAAACACTCAAACACAAGCAACGACAACAAAAATGAGTATATAACGCTGGCCAATGATTATTCTAGAATAGACAAGCTAGTGCTCGGGGGAATGACATTGCATTATCATATTCTCATATGACACCTTAACTACTAGCTCTTTCAGTAAGTTAAGACAAGAGTCAATTAATTAAGATGAAAGAGGCTAGAAAAAGCCTTACACAAATATATATCAAGTTTTAAATCGATATAAAAGTCTGATATTTCTTTTTTTCAATTGAAAATAGAGAGAGATATAATCCCTAAAGAAAGTCCAAAACGTGTGCCGTAAGCATAAACCATTTTCAAGTAAACGTTTAACACAATATCTTGTATTTATCAATCTTCATTACACAATAACCTTTTCTGAATATGTTTGTTTGCTTTCAGTATTTCTTTTTACTTGCAAACAAGCAATATTTTATGTCTATAAATATAAATGTGTCAGAAACAAGATCAGTGATAACAAAAAAATAAATCGTAAAAAATAATGTTAAAATAGTTTACCAACTTCTGATTGTCACAAATAGATAAATATTTATCATTCTAAGAAGTTGACTACTGTTTTGAACTTATACACTGAATTTATTTTCAAAGCCGTGTATAATGATTGCAACCATATGCCTTTTGACTTTCAACACAAAGTTCTGTAATCATGGTATTGTTATATTTTATAAAAAGTTATTGTTTTACCAGTTTCGGTCATTGCTATTTAGACATTTCAGATGCTAAATAAAGTAACAAGATTTAATAATTTAATATTTGTTTTGCTCAACCGGTGCTTAGGGGCGTGCACAATTGTTTGTTTTAACCACCACTTCACATGAGCAGGTTCATTTAAACAAATCCTGCAATATTTTTTTCATTTTGCTATGCATATGTTGGACGATTTCCTTCTTAATTATCTTATAGATTTTTGAGATTTTTGATAAGGTTGATCATTGGAGTCTTATATAATAAGTACTTAACATTAACAACGCTAAATATGTTAAACTGACCTGTCTATCTTTCAACCTGGGCGAAGCCATTCATCATTTTTGAAAGACACTTTGGAAATTTGTACTTTGACTTAATTCTGGGAACATTTTTACATTATCTTTTGCATTTTTTGTTTCGTTTTTATTGCCAAAGTTGTTGTATGTACATGAATAGCATGTTTTTCATTTTTATCAATGCGTGCTGTTGACTTTATTACTGGCTAAGGGTTAATATTGTATAATTCTCTTTCAGAACAGAACATAATATATCAAGATGGTTGACAGAATGGGGAATTCCTCAATATCTGCATTAGTGGCAGAAATGATGCTACATATTGATCCAAATAAGACCTACCTGAATATGTCTCCAGAAGAGCAGGTAACTTACAGCTTAAACGTTATATACATGACACTGTCTTCTTGTCACATTCTTGAAACATTCTTTAATTTGTCAAATGCTGATGCTATTATAAAAAAAGAGGGAGGGATCCCTTTATAGATTTTTTTTACTGTTTGACAGTAGTTTTTGTCTAGTTTTATATAAAACACTCTAACTGATCAAATAAAATATAATGAATACTTTCACCTACCTAAAACCAGATGACCAGGTAACATACCGCTTTAACGTTATATTCATTTTATAAATCGTCTTCTCGCCCATTTCATCTCATATGATAAATGCCATTTTTTTCTTATAGAGAAATAAGAGGGGATAATCCCTTTAAAGCTTCTGTCACTCGTTTCGGGTAAATTAGGAAATACCTGTATCTCTTATTAATTAAATATATAATATAAATGCTTCGATTGCTCAGGGTATGATATAAAAATAAAACACAGTGCTTAGATCAGCACTTGATGCGCCAAGCATTTGTTGACAGATATACTTAAAATATATTGAAAAACTCTTCTGAATATAGTAAGTTTTTCCATCCTTGATTCTTACAATCACGCCCGATGTAATACCGGCTATAGATAGATATACTTCTGTCAAATAGTTTGAAGATTACATGAATAGCATGTTTTTATTTGTATTAATGCGTGTTGTTAACTATAAATAGTATTCAGCTTTTACCAGGTCATCTAGTTTTTGTGTTCTAATTGCATTATATTTTTTGTGAAATTACTTTTTAATCTAATTGATATTCACTCTTTGTGATTGTTTTCTATGCATATTTAAATGCGCTCCACTGAGTACAAAAAGCTTAATTCCATGCCTCATGTTTTGCAATAAAAACGAAACAAAAATGCAAAAGATAATGTAAAAATGTTCCCAGAATTAGATTAAAAACCCATGTCTAGTGCGATTCATAGCCAATTTAAAGTTAAGAGCGGTTAATTATTTTTAATGTTGTGATAATTTGTACACTTTAAATATCATTCTGGAAAAAGCGTGCGGGCAAAATAATCTGAAATCTTGCAAACAAGTTATTTGTTATACATACAATCTCGATAAAAATATTTTATAGTCATGTTAATAAAACTCAGTGATGTCCCTTTAAGTACCATCGTTTTGACTTGTTGTTTGTATATTTTAGCAAATATTTTTGGAGTCTATAGAAATGCAGATGGAAAGTGAAGTTACAGGACCTGAAACAATGCTGATGCAGTATACGGAATACCGAGTCCACAAAGTTATCAGTTTATATGTTCCACCAATACTTCTTATAATGGGGACGTTTGGAAACATATTCTCGTTTCTTATTTTAAGGAACAAAACAATGACGCGACAGTCTACCAATTCTTTCCTGTCAGCATTAGCGCTTGCTGATTCAGTTGTATTGTTTGTCGGATTGTTGAGACGTTGGATTGGTGCAATATCAGGAGTGGATATACAGACTGAGTCTGAATGGTTGTGTAAAACAATTTCAATGCTCACGTACAGTAGCAGTCATTTTTCAGTATGGCTTATCATTGCCGTGACAATAGAAAGATATATAGCGGTAAGTCAACCTCTCCATGCGTCGAGGTATTGTAACTTATCAAGAGCAAAGCGCGTTATTGCCCTGCTTGCATTCATATTCATATTACTTAATCTACATTTCCTTTGGACAGTAACATTAAAGGATAGAACGTATGGAAAAATGGTTTTGATTGAATGTCAAGCTGTGCACAAATTTGTGTTTTTTGTGACAATAGTATGGCCATGGATAGATGCAGCTTTATATTCCTTAGTGCCTTTTCTTCTCATAATAGTTTTTAATACTTTGATAATAAGACAAACGTTAAAGGCTACAAGTTGGCGAGGAGAAGCACAGAAAGGGCCTTTAATGAATGTTGAAAAAAGATCAAAAGACAAAAATGCTAAACTCACCATAATGCTTTTATCTGTGTCCTTCACATTCTTGATTTCAACATTCCCCATGTCAATTGCTATGGTTCTACATAATTACTGGGAGAAAGATAGACTTAATCCATCAACAACTGTTCAACTGGCAGCTCAAAGAAGGTTGATGCGTACAATAGCTGAAATGTTAATGTTTTTAAATCATTCCATTAACTTTTATCTTTACTGTGCTTTAGGACAAAAGTTTAGAAATCAGGTAATGAAAACATTATGTGGAAGGACAACGTCAAATACTTCAAACGTTTCAGACCACAGTCAACATATCTACTGCTCACGGGTAAATGGATCTCACAACCACAAAGGAACATGTATAGATGAAACTGTGTTATAGCTAATATTATGGTCAATCAAATTTAACTCATAACAAATTTTGTTGATCATTTACAAGAGGGAGGAAGCAACAAAACACACAAACTGTCAGTCATTAATTGATACACAATATTACGAAAGACCAGTAGGGCCATTTCAACTTCATAAATTCCCGATTTCATCTTCATGAATTCACAATTTAAAGTTCGTGCATTCCCGTTTTCAACATACGGAATTCACGAATTCACAATTCAGCTTCATGAAATCACGACTTCAACTTAACGAATTCACGATTTCAACTTCACGAATTCACGATTTCAACTTCATGAATTCACGATTTCAACTTCACGAATTCAACTTCGTAAATTCACGATTTCAACTTCACGAATTCACGATTTCAACTTCAGGAATTCAGGATTTCAACTTCATGAATTCACGATTTCAACTTCATGGATTCACGATTTCAACTTCACGAATTCACGAGTTCAGCTTCATGAATTCACGATTTCAACTTCACGAATTCAAGGTCGTGAATTCATGATTTCAACTTCACGAATTCACGATTTCAACTTCACGAATTCACGATTTCAACTTCATGAATTCACGATTTCAACTTCATGAAGTTGAAATCGTGAATTCGTGAAGTTGAAATCGTGAATTCATGAAGTTGAAATCGTGAATTCATGAAGTAGAAATCGTGAATTCTTGAAGTTGAAATCGAGAATTGATGAAGCTCAAATCAGGAATTCATGAAGTTGAAATGTCCCCACCGGTCTTTCGTACAATATTGATAAATGTTCGCAAAATGATAAGCGAATACGCTTAAAGTAAAGCCCATAATCTGTATTTGAAAGAAAGCATTAACACTATAATTTCACAGAAAATAAAGAAATAAAGATATTTTAAATACATTCCGTAGACACTTAAATTTATTGTTACCAACAACGCATTATATACTTAAAAATGATAAATTGGGTATGCATAAATGTAATCCAATATATAGACATGAAAGCAATTTTAAATCTTGAAAAAATATTTAAGTTCCTTATAATCTGTAAAGTTATAATAAATATACATTTATACGGGTACGATACTATACGATACTATTTTAGTTTGCGCTAAAGGCAAATTGATAAATATATGCAAATATTAATTTGAAAACAAATCATTCAGTGGTACTTTGTGCGCAATAATATTACTATTCATAGTCGATATGTTCAAATTTGGATATTTGACAATGTTTCAGGGTTTTTTTGTTTGTTTTTTATATACGTTATCACAATTTAATATTTATACAAGTAATATAATTGAATTTAACAATTTTAAGCCACAAAGGCCATTTTAAAGAATTATTAAAGTTTCAGTAAAAACGGGACTTCTTTATCAGTTACAAATTATTTATCATTTTAGTGATTAACCTGTCCGTGCTCTGTCTTGTGCCCTGTCCTGGTTTTGTTTGGGGTCCGACTGGGCTCCTTGCCACTGGTTCTTGTTGCTGGGTTGTATGGGGGTGGCGTTCATTGAACGCCGCCTTTCCTTGTTGATCTTATTTATCATATTTTTTGGTTTATTAGGAAGTTAATGTTACAACGAAAGAAGAATATACCCACAATTGAACAATTGTAATGTTTAAATCTCTTAAATGAATTCGACATTATTGTAAATGGTCGAATGAGAAATCCATGAAAGTTGTTATATACTGAAGTCAAACTGAATTTGTTTTAAATTTTCTTTTGTTTTATCGAATATTTTCACCCTTGAAATGATGGCTAATGATGGCATTTTAAGAAGCCTTTCCTTTGTTTGCATTACATATTCACAATATATGCAGTACCACTATTTTTGTGCGCATATATCGAAGGTATTATGTGGCGGTGGAAAATAACATTAAGTTATTTCAACATCCTCTAAAAAGGATTGTTTACATGAGATTATAACAATGATAACATTTTAAACACATGAAAATATACAATTTCTAGTTAGAACCAGATTTAAATGAACATAAATTATCATATAACTGGAAAAATTAGTGAGACATAATGCATAAAAATAGATCTTTACTGAGCGAATAAACTTAAATGAACAAGTTATCTACAATATTACATAACATCAATTAAAATAGATTTTTGACTCAATATCTAATAATTGACAGCATATCCGGCTCTCTTGAATATAAGATTATTACAAAGTACTATCCTGATAATTATAAATATTAAAATAAAATATGAGTTAATTGCTCTGTATGAGATGATTATACACTATCACACTACAAATCTATTTATAATTAACAAATATAAAAATGTAGCATTACTATATAAAAAATGATTTATTTGTTTTTGTATATATATAAAGTTTATTTACAGATTATAATTGATATGCGAACAACTGGCAATGGTAACAAGAAAAGAAAGTTCTCATATCGCGTCCTATGAAGAAAAGTATACCCTAGTTTTAAATTGTTAAAATTTCTTAGTCCGATTTAACCATGCAGTAGATACAATTTATGTTTTGGGAATGGCAAATTGGTTGTAAGTGAACTTGGAAAATTATCATTAAATAGGTGGCATTTTAAAGAAGCACCTCATATTCGTACAACAGTTAAAGTAACATGTAATTTTCATAACAAAATCATAACAAGGACGAACATATTAATATCGAATACAAAATGTAATATTTTTGATATGTTTATATTCATATCATACCGTTTTATACAATTTTAATTCGACAAGAAAAACACGCAATGTAGAAAGCAAATGTAACCCTTAATAGTTTATTGTTCTTAATTTATACTTCACAAAACCCAATCAAATAACTTTCTGTTATACATGTATGAACGACAATTATGATATATCGTAGTAATATATCTCGATATAGCAATATCGCTCTGTTGTAGTAGGTAATATTGTTAGCATGAGTGAGACAAATGTAACGTTCAGAGACTGTAAATATGATTAAAATATAGCATTGTAACACCGTCTGTTAATAAGAACTCCCGGATCAATTTTCTCTCAACAGTCCTAACAAATGGGAATTGAGAAGTTAAAATCAATTTAATTATTCGACCACGTATTGTCAGCATTGCACATTTATCGGGTGGTCGGCGGCAATCTCTCAATTAAAGTTAATCTGTTTCTTTTTTTATAGAAGTCGTACTTGATCTCATATTCATTGTAAATGAAACTTTCCTTTATATCACCGGAAACCAAAACGAAATCGAGTACATGAAATTTACAAAAATGAAATGTTTTCAATTACACAACTAATATGTGTAATATTTACAGAAAACATATTATTAAAACTCGTCCATTTTCGTTGATATCTATTTGCCTTTAGTTCTTTTATTTCAGGCCTGTACCATTTGAAACTCGAACATAAACAAACAGGCAGTAAACTATTTAATATGTTAATACTAAATATGTACATGTATGCCCATACGCATTGTATGTTTGTACACAATAAATAATAATCAGAACAATATGTCATCGGTTCTATGCTATAAACGACGCCTATAAGTGCCAATTAATAAAGGCGTATTTTTGAGATTTATTTTAATCGTGCTTTAAATATTAGTTAAGCCTTCACCATGACAAATTGCGAAATTATTTTACATTACGTTGATTTATCCATTACGGAAGAGCATTAGTGCCAGGTGTATGTTTTTTATTAACTCGAAATTTCGAGTTAGAAACTCGAAATTTCGAGTTAATTTCGAGTTAGAAACTCGAAATTTCGAGTTAGTAAGTCGAAATTTCGAGTTAGTAAGTCGAAATTTCGAGTTGGTAACTCGAAATTTCGAGATAAGTAAGTCGAAATTTCGAGTTATGAACTCGAAATTTCGAGTTAATAAAAAACATGCACCTGGCACTAATGCTCTTCCGTAATCCATTCTATTATAGCTTTATCTTTTATTGCATCTGCTTTACTTATTCTATTAATTCTTAAATTAATTCCGCCCGAAAAATGTTACTGATCGTTGAACACATTTTGAAGTGTTTTCGACTTAAGACATCTGCATTAGTAAGATGGCTGAATGTGTGTAAAAGCGCATTTTACACCAGAAACTATTTTATATTATATAACGTATAAATGAACCTTTGTTCCACAAATCATTTATTTTCTAAGTCTGATACAAAATATTAACATATGATCCTTAAACATAGGAATAAAACGAAAGATAATTTAACAGGTAACGGTCGTAAAAATAGTGTGTGCAAAAAGTAATATAAATATTATTTTGAAAGATGATTGTCATTTTATATATCACTGAATAAAAGGCTAAAATTTCAGAGTTCTTTGATTTTAGATAAAAAGAGAACCGCATTGAATTTATTTTTTTCTAAGATTTAGAACATAACAGTAGCACCGTTAATCGCAAACAAAACAATAATGATGATGATGAAGGTTGCGTTGGATGAGTGAAATTCAACTAAACATCTTGCATATCAATGAAATATTAAACGTATAGTAAGTAACCTTAAGACACTATAAATGCGTTTGTATGTTGTCGACAATAACAAACCAGTACTAATACCTGTGTGTTCGAAAATTTAAAAGCAATATATGTGTCTTTCAGTTGGGATAATATTTATATTTTCCATCCCAGTTTGTTGGAAAGAAACTCACAAAAAACATATTAATGCAAATTGCTTTCTAAATTTCTAAGAAAAAGTTTAACTCTTTTATTGTGAAACGTTATAATTTGCACGTATAGCACTTGTTTAAGCTTTGTGTCATCAATTTGTAACAGCAATTTTAACTGGAATTGGAGTTTTTGAATTAAAGTTCTATCTAATCTATTGCATCTTTCTCGTACACGACGAAAACGTATGAAAGTAAACAGTTTTGTAACCACATATAGATTTGTATTTATAGTATACAATGCAGATGAAGAAACAGATAACTATTTTCATAAATCTTGTTTACTATATGATAGTTGCAATTATATCTCTCTTTAAACAGCCTATGTTATCAAAAATAAACAAACTGTTTCTAGTATTAAGTATTTTGTTATTTTGTGCTTCTTATATTGAGCTATTCATATATTGGATAAAATGAAAACTGATTTGTTTCTAATGGACCTGGTTTTGATCGTAAGTGTTTAATGAGTGCATCAGTAGTCGCAGTCCTTGAGAATTGAAAACAAAGAATGTTTGTTGTAAAAAGATCATCTCCTAAAATAGATTTTTGTGTCTTTATCTTTTGCTTTTTATTCTTTGAAGTCAAAAATCAATGGGCACGTTTTTAATGTGACACAATGTGAAATTATAATAAATACAAACAAGGATCAATTATAATATTTATAAATATATTATCACTATATCCATTAATATATGCTGTAGCGTCTGCATAAGAAAAGAGATCCACTTACAAATTTAAACGCA